GGCTTTAATGCGAGCCTGGGCACTGACACTGGGCAGGCAATGAACAGTGCTCTGGACCCTAGTGCACCCGTCTGTTCACAACTGGGCATTTGTCCCGTCTACGTCTGTGTGCTAAGGAAAGGAATTAAAGGGTAGCCATTGGCAGAGACCACCCAAGAGTTTGTCTGGGCCATGTGAGGAGATAAAGTTTCTTAGAATTTTACAAGCTACCAAATATACTGCATTGGGGCTGGAGAGATGGCTCAGTGGTTAAGAGCATTGCCTGCTCTTCCAAAGGTCCTGAGTTCAATTCCCAGCAACCACATGGTGGCTCACAACCATCTGTAAAGAGGTCTGGTGCCCTCTTCTGGCCTTCAGGCATACACACAGAATACTGTATACATAATAAATAAATAAATAAATAAATAAATAAACAAATATACTGCATCACCTCCAAGTTCTTTCTTAGAACAAAACTACTTGAGAGACTAATTGATATAGGAAAAGAAATATTTTTTTTTTGAGACAAAGTCTTACTGGGTAGTCCTGACTAGACTGGAATTCACTCTGTAGACCAGGCTGGCCTCGAACTCACGGAGATCCACCTGCCTCTGCCTCCTGAGTGCTGGGATTAAAGGCTGTGCAGTGGTGTCCTTTAAAAGACTACGAATGATGTCTGCACCACTGTGGTGTTTACCAAAGGCAGTGATCTGATTGGTTCTTATAAACCAGAGCCAGACCCCTTTATTCCTACCCCATGGATAAACAAGGTGATTAGTAAACTAGATAGGATTTTCTCTCTTTAAATTCTTCCCATTGCCCAGAAGGGCTTTTCTGTGGCATCCTGTAAAATCCTGTGGAATCCTAGAATTCTTTACTTACTGCACGCACATACAAGAGAAATAACAAGGCTGTTGAAACATGAGCCCCTAGTGAGGGTGGAGCTTGAACATGAACGCTTCACATCTTAAACCTGCCTGCAAGTTGCATAAAAGTCAAAGGATAATATTCTAGAAGAAAGTATCAGAAATGGCATCTGATGGATGCAACGCTTCCAGCCTAGAATGCAAACCTTTGTGAGAGAAACACAATGGGCAAGTAAGAAGGAGGCTATGGATAGGAAATAGGCAGGAAAAAAAAACCTATGTATCCAAACGAGAAGAATAATATTGGGGAAACTGTTCCAAAGGCTCTCGCTTGTGTCTGAGGCATAGCAAGATTCAAAGGCCACAGTCATTAAAGAAAAACTGGGGCTTAAAACTATGGAAGAGCTGATAGACATTCCTAAATGGCCCCAGGCTTAGAAAGAGGCTGCCTTTGAGGATGTTGGACAAACCCCAAAGAGAGCCCCAGCAGGCACCTTCAGCATCTGAACTAACCTCACCCCATGGCCCAGTTAACCATCCTGACTCTGGGGAGAGCGCTCCAGAGGGCAGGCAGAGATTGCACAGTCTGGATAATTTTTCCAGCTGCTGCCTGTGCCCCAATCTCCTTGGCTCAGGGCTTGATCCCTGATAAGAGGTCAGAGACCTTTCTATGGGTGGTACAGTACAAATGCTTTCAATCATTCTCACCTTTGTGCGGGCAACCTGCAGCACAAAGGGTCTGCCAGCAATGAGGGAAAGGAAGGCAGGGCGTCGGGCATTGTGACTGAGTAAGAAGAGAACGCACCTGCTCACTGGAAGATGCCAATGCTGACGTCAAGCAGTGCCTTTTCACGATTCCCTCTGAAGACTAGCCAGCATGCTTTGAATAATAATGTGCTATGCTGAAAGTGTGTATATGGGTTGTGTGTGTGTGTGTGGGCAGACACGCAATAAATGCTAGCTCCATGGAAGATGATTATTGATGCTTGGGATCTTTTACCATACACTAAACATGGTTCTTAGGTCCACTGTGCTATTTAATTTCTGTTACCACACTGTGAGGGCAAGGGTAAATATCCTCAGGTGAGGAAGAAGGTTGAAAAATTCTTTTTAGGGCTAATGAGGGGAACCGGAGTTCAAACTATTCAAGTCCATTCTAGTTTAACCAGGACATGTGTGTACTAACATGAGCAATGTTCTCTTTGGGTCTCCCTTTCTCTCTCCCTCTTCCACCCCCCCCCCTCACTCTCTCTCTCTCATACACACACACAAAAAACAGATATAAACACATATGCACATACAAACATACACACACGCACACAGACAGGCACAAATACACACACATATGCACACAGAGACACAGACAGACACACATGCCAGCATTCTAGTCCCATACCCCCGATTTCAAATTTCCGTTCTTCTGGCTTAACACAATCCATGCACACAAAATTTGAACCAAGGAATAAAATGTAGCAGTTCATCTTCAGAGGGAAAACAAGTGGAAAGAAAACGGAACCTTGAAGTGTGGAATGTTTGTCAAAGATGGTGATAAGGAGCCAAGAAGAAGGTTCCATATCTCAAAGATACTGACAACAAAACTGCAGTCTCCTAACGCCCAAAAGAACTGCTTTGGGTTCAATGATTTTTTTTCCCTTTGGCTTTTCAAGATGGGGTTTCTCTGCGTTGCTTTGGAGCCTGTCCTGGAACTAGTTCTTGTAGACAGGTTGGCCTCGAACTCACAGAGATTCGCCTGCCTCTGCCTCCCAAGTGCTGGGATTAAAGGCTTGCGCCACCACTGCCCAGAGGGTTCAATAAAATTTTGCACATTCACAAGGATCTCATTTCTACTTTCTGACGCTGATCACCTAAAACCTCCGGGGTAGAAAACCGATTCAGGTGCGCGATGGTCGTTTGCTAGTCTCCCACCTGTGGCCCATTCATGGGTCCCAACCCCGTGTTTCTCTAGGCTGCATTTTTCAAACCTGAAGAAAGTGTCTGAGGTGTGTGCTAGGATGCTGGGCATTAAACTACCTGGTGGAACACAGGAGATACCCCCACAAAGGTCTATCACAGTCCAGAGGGGAAGATATGGCAAGTCTATTTCAAACCCCAGCTTTACTTGAAGAGAAGCACATTGAAATATTTTTTGTAGGCGATGAAGTACACGTGATAAAATGAGAACAGAAGGCCAAGTGTATGTTTCTAAAATAAAATCCAAACTTCAGATCTAAAATGTCCCACTTTGGGGTCACATGCCTGGTCGCTGAGGTCTCCCTCCCCTGCGGTTATCAGGACTTCCTGAAAGATGTGCAGGATTCAATAAAAGCATAGGTGCCCGTATTTGCCCTGCATCATGGACCACTGAGATTAACAATTAGAACAGAACCATATTAAGGTGGCCTGTTATCTTTATGCCACTTTAGACAGCAATGGTTCATCTTTTTAGCTTCAAGTTCATTAAGAGTTTATCATCCTAGTGGGCCCTTCGGGGTCGCAGCAGCTAAAGGGCCCTCTTCCCTCTACTCCTTCTTGTGACAGATTCACTATGCTCTTCATTTTACTCAATGATTCGATCCCAAAACAGAGACGTTTTTCTAAAACTTTTTATTTAACCAACTAGATAATAATAAAATAATAATAACTTTTGAAAGATTGCCATTGTGTTCTACCACTCCAAACCCTGCCCTCGCATATAACTACCCTGCAAAATTATTTTAAAAGCCAAGACACATCAAATGAGCAAATGGAAGCCCTCCTCCTGACAGCAGAGAATGAACCCACCTAGCGCTCTAGAGTGCAGTAGAGCTGGCCTTCCCTACCTTCTGAGTGGATCAATATCCAAGGTGGTGTTGCCACAGGCAAGCAGAGAGGCAACTCTGAAAAACTTTTAACTTATTGATTCTGAACCTTACTTTAGAAAACAAACGAGTGTCCAGTACGCCTCGTGGGTCCTCCAGGACATTTATAAATAGAAAGTCTTTGTCAGCCTTGACAACTTGGCTAGAGGACCTGTCCGGCTACTCAAGCAGAAGAAACCACATAGCTTTGACAAGATTCTAGGCATAGTCACGGTGTGGACATCCAGGGGCCTTCCGTTCATAATTTGCCTTATTAAACCTCAGAGAAAGGCTCCGTTATTTTTTCCACTGCACCCTTTTGTTAAGATATGACTTGATCCGAAAAAGAACTATCTACGGGATGCTCAGAGAACACAAAGCGAAATGCCAGTCAAACTCCAGGGTAAGGTAGCGTGTGAGCAGGCGCTAACTCCAGTGGAAATGGCTCTGTAAAACTGACATCACTAGCTGTGCGAACTTTTCCTTCTTAGTGAGTAATGTCCCTACCATAGTTATCTGACATAGTTCAGAACTTCAATTTTCCCACCATCAGTGTGACAGTGTGAGCCTCATCTGCCCCAGGTGACTCGGATATAAAGATCTAACCTCCCTTAGAAATACAATCGGCATGGATGGAAACTGATATTATTTATCCAAATTTCACCAGTCATGGGGGAATGCCCTCTGTCTGCTCCTGCACGGGGTGAAAAGTTTGTCTTACCCCACAAGCTCGCATTTGCCTGGACTTAGAGGCCCTTAGCACAGCAGACTGAGAAGTCCCATGATCAAAGATCAACATATGATTTGCTCTATTATGTTTGCTTGATTACATGAGCTTCACTCAGTATGGAAGGTGGCTCATACCACTTAAGAAATCATAATCAGGTGACTAGAACACAAATTTAATCTCACTGTCTCATTCTCATCGATCAAATAATAACGCACATTATGTAGAGATATGCATATGCAATAAAAATTTTTACCCTGCACATTTAGTTTCTAACAACCCAAGAGTTATCATAAAAACACTTTGCAGTTCTTCCACTATGTTCTGTTTAGGTGGTGGTCGGATGGAAGCAGACCAATTCCATGCTGTGTAGAAGGGGGCACCCATTGGAGTTGACAAAATCCAACACAGTAATCCTCAAAAGTGAAATTTCTGTATCCTGTAATCAGGAGTTGCCAGGCATCTGATTAAATACCCCAGGCATTTGATCCCCAACCTACTTCCATTTCTTCTCCTGACCGGCAAGCCAGAAAAATTAAATCAAAAACCTGAAGAAACAAAATGTGTATTTTAATACAGAAATGCTTTTACCTGCCGTCCCGCTGTGAATGAAATGGGCCGAGCTCTCGAAATGTTCGTCAGCTTAACTCGCAGCTGGGGGCACTGGGAAAATGTAGCCAGGCAGCCTTATTGCGGCTTCTGTCCTTTAACTGCCAAGTGGAATACAATGGAAGCATCAAAGAGAAACGGATGAGAGGGGAGTCCAGAAAGAGCCCCGAGGAGGATGAGGAGCAAACAAAGGGAAAGTTTCTAAGTCAGGGACATTGTGTCTGCCATTTGCACTTCTCAGATTACTTGCACACTAAAGATGAGCTTGCCTCAATGAGTTGCGACTTCCCCCAAATTGTTTAGGGCATATCCAACATGAAAAACTTATAAGACATGCTTAACCTTAATCTAGAAGAGAAATGGTTGCATTGCACTGCTTAGATAGATAGATAGATAAATAGATAGATAGATAGATAGACAAATAAATATTCAACACCTTATGAGATTGACAAATATTCAATATCTTATGAGATTGTTTTTGATAAACATGAAAAAATGCTTTTCTTCTGGTCCATACAATACACATGCCAAGTGAAGAGAGCTAGATGCTGGGGCTTTCTGAATTGTGTGCACAGGTATCTAGAACTGTATCCATGTCTGATTTCTGCATCATCTCACCCTTGGTGGCTGTCATTTTATCCTCCTAAAGACACTCCATTATTGCAACAGTGTACATGCGGTTATTACTCATAACAAAAAAAGAAAAAAAACTTTAGTTTCCATTTTAACCTCTGAGCACTTGAAAAATGCTCTTGTCTTTGTTCACATCCAAGAATGTGGGCACCACTCATTAAAGCCCAGCAAGGAACAGAAAACAGCATGCCCTTTCCCACAAAGAGCTCTAATGTCTACCATTTACACCTGACTTATTTACCTGCATGATATTCTGAGTCATAATCTAAAGACGATGGAAAAGAGAGAAAGCCATTTGGTTTATATAGAATCATAATCATTAAATGGACTAAACATTTCCAAAGAGTCGCAGTGCAGACCGAGCAGAGGGAGCGTGATGGGACAGCTTTGAAAGCAAACGCAGTAACATAGAGCTTGATGAAAATCTTACCACATCGAATGGGAAATTCAAAGATTTTCACTTCCAGTTATTTTATTTATATTTCTGAGCTCTTCTCATCCGTTGTCTTGCATGGAGCAGGGATGTCGGGCACAGCCAGAGTCAAGACACTGTCTACTTAGCCCGAGTTTGAGCAGTGAAAATACACAGCCTTTCGTGTTTCAGACAGTTTAAAAGTGTACGCTAAGGAAAAGAAAATGAGACTGTTTTGACTGGCCAATTTAAAAAAGCAAAACCAATGCCAGCTGCCAACTGCCAGCTGCCTACACACACATTTAATCCCAGCACTCGGGAGGCAGAGACAGGGGAATCTCCATGAGATTGAGGCCAGCCTGGTCTACAGAGCAAGTTACAGGACAGCCAGGGCAACGCAAAGAGCCCTGTCTTGAAAACAAAACTTAAAACAAAACAAAACAAAAACAAACACAAGTGAACAAAACTAAAAGATCATCACATTCATTTCTATGAACTGGTAAGCTTTTTTTTGTATTTTGACATTTTATAATCAATTTCTGATTGCACAAATGAGTATAACTCAGATATATCTCTTTCTCACCAGATTAAAGTAGTAATTTGGCCATTACGTGCTTTGCAGCCTGCATAGTCTTCTTGGATCATCAACTCTGCTCAAATTCATTATAAAATAAAAAAAAACAAAACTCCCCGCGCCTCTTCCCATGAGAAGAAGACACCACTCCAGGAACCAGGCCCCAGGGCAGAACACACCAGTGCCACCAGGGACAGGTGAGCTTGCCGGCACGTAAGCCAGCAGTTTAGCTGCTACAATTATGCTTTGCTTGGAAAACAAGCTGCACATTCTCCGTTATAACTCGCAAGAAACAGGCAGGCTGAGAAGCAGGTTCTACCGGCACACAACACCCTCTACTTCTTGTATCCAGTTCACGATAAATCTCTTACCTTGTCGGGAGAGGGAAGAGCAGCAGGCTCATAACAGAATGAGCGATGCGTAAAATGTTCTCCAGCTGACTTCCCACGGGATTTATACTTCCCGAACCAGGGACACCTCTGCCTTCGCAGATGGAATGCTAAGCGATGCAGGGAAGCAACCAAGGTGGGAGGAACAGCTTTGCTTTTTTGTTGTTGCTTTGTTTTGTTCTTTTTCTTTCAACTCAGAGATCCAGAAGAGGCTGTCATGTAAACACGCAAACAAGTGAGCATGGTGTAGAAGCCGCAGTACAGGTTCGATGGGGAAATAGAGTTTGAGGATGAAGGTTGGTGACCGGCTCCTGTTTTAACTGAGGTGGTGTAAATAAGGAGTTTGCTTTTCTTAGAAACGGATAGGACGTTACATTCATGTCAGGAATTTAAGATGGAGACATCCATATTACATGATAAAAATATTTCACCAAAATACTTCTAGCTGAATCTAAGCTACAGATAAGAGTTCAAACAAACACACTTTTAAAGTACCAAAGATATTTAAAAAAAAAAAAACAAATCTAAAAAACCTGAATGAGACCAACTTCTATGCTTATTGAATTTCCACACTTATTTGTTTGGCAAAATTACTGCATTTTTTTGGGAAGTAAAGGGGTCATTTCATACTTGTTTCCAATCTAAAATCAGTCTCTGTTCCTTGGGCCATATTTCCTCAGGCACGAGAAAGAAAATCAATGTCCCTACTCACCTTTGGAAGAATTTCACTGCCGAGTCACCACGGTTCTGTGGGATCCAATAATCCGTGGCTCAGCATCGATTTTCCTGTGACACCCTGTAGAAACAGCCTCTCCTTCCTTTCTAACGAAATCCAGCGGTAAAGACTGTGCGGCTGCTCAACGAATTAAGCGTGTGGGCTCTTCGGCACAACTCGCGCTTCTAAAGAGACAGGGTTTATATTTTCAGAAGCTGTTAACGCTGCTTGCTTCTCGCGGAACCACTTAGCCACCATTTAAAGATAATGTGAGCATCTATTTTGAAGAGAATTGGAAGGTAATATTTCTCTTAGGTTTCTCACGGTTAATTCATATCACCAGTAACACTTTCTTTTTTCCTGAGGAAATAGACAAATGATCAAAAGGTCAAAGTACAAGTCTCAGGGTTTTTTTTTTTTTTTTAACCCAGCTCCCAAATCGAGTTGTTTTCAATATGTGAAAAACTAGCCTCATGGTTTTAATATTTAAAACTTGGAAGCTTGGTGAGCTATAGAGGGTCTGGGAGGGCCTGGTTTGGAGTGTATCATATCCTAGGAGAGAGGGGTTGTGTATTAAGGCTTATGCCCCCACCTTCCCCACTTTCCTTGGTGGGTTAAGTGCATGAAAAGAAAAACACAGACAATGATTCATGTTTCCAGCATCCTTCACGTACCCGACTGAAATCTCAGGGTATCTCAATGACACTGGACAGACTTCTCTGGACAGGTCAGGAAACACTCCCTGCAGGCAGCCTGGACGGGGTGCAGTGTTGCTGGTCATTAGCCACGTCCTCCCTGACTCTGCCAGCCTGTGAGCCTGCAAAATCAAAGTGTGGGGTTTGCAAAGGCACCCCCGCTTCATTTGTGCTCCCCAATAAAACAGAGGGAGGAGAGCACAAGGCAGGTTGTTTCTCCTGAGGTAGGTGACATCTTGGTTAAAAAATGACATGGCCAGGCAACACTCTGACAGATATAAGCCTGCAAGAACCTCCCTGCCACACATAGTTAAGCTCGCGAAACCTTTGATTTGATGGCGCCTTGATTAGCTTCTGCCGCACTCAGTACTACCCCTTTGAAGTTCATTATAAATTATGTTGCTCATCCCATTATCGCCAATTTAGGATCCGCTTTACTAGAAATGCCGTCATCTCAACCATTCATCAAACCTGTGCCCGATTCTCAGTTAAAGGATTAGACCAAGTCACACTCCAGTTCTCAAGGCAGAAGTTCCATTGTTTATCAGGCCATGTCTACACTGGCTGAGCAAAGCGCTCGGTTCAGAAGGAGAAGCGCCTTTGGCAGCTAGAGTCCACATAGCTGACCCATGGATGATGGCGGGGCGCTCCTTCACCTGATTACCCACGTGTAGTGAAGTCGCTAAGCGTCACATGAGGGTGACCCTAGGCAGCGAGAAAGCATGACATGGTTGTTGTTCTAATTTATTGATAGGGCAATCATCTAGCGTTCTATTCAGGAAGCTAGAAGAACGTGTGTATATCCGGCACACATGATGGCTATCAATACGGAAGCAATTCATGGCTCTGTAGTGAGCTTAACCGTGCTCCATCTTTCTAAGCAAGACAGCAGTGGCGCCATCTTTCCTAAGTAGTTAGGATTAAGTTCAAAACCCTACCTCTTTACACAGAAAAATCTTCACAAAAGACAATGCTGATCAGAAAGAAAGGAAGGAAGGAAGGAAGAAAGGAAGGAAGGAAGGAAGGAAAGAAGGAAGGAAGAGAGAGACAAAGGTAGTCAATATTTGGTGCTCAATATTTATACTCTGATTACTTGTACGGTCAGAATTAGTACCGAGTCTGGGTAGATTCTATTCTGGTGGCGGAGCAGCATAGAATTGTCCCGAGTGCTGAGATTCTTTACAATTTTTTAGAATAAAAAGAGGCTTAGCAAAAATGTTCAACTAATAGCTATAAAATTATAGGCTTCCCCTTTCACCCACCCAAACACACTCCACCCTGTGACATAACAGATCTAATGCAAATCACCTTTGGAATTTTGCCAACCTTTCCCATTGGTGAGCTGGTAGAGTCGGGCCAAGCTTCCTTAAAGGCATAAAGCCTGCCTTACCCTCACGAAAGCCCCCTAAGGAATCCTGGAATCCAGTCAGATTCTTTGGCAAAAACAGAAGACTTATATCTGTGAAAACCTATCAAATCTGTAAGTTATTGGATGACCTACGGTATCTTCCCAAGATGAATTGTCAAAACAAAAGCTCTATCATGGCTTCCTAATCACTTGACCTTTGCAGATAGGAATACATCCCGCTTTCTAAGATGTCAAGATTCAATATTTGGTGTATGTGTGCTCATGCTCAACTCTGTCTGAGTCTATAGAGGTTAGAGGTTCACATTAGCTCCCTTCCTTGATCAATAGCCACCTTAGTTTGGAGAGAGAGTCTCTCACTGAACCTGGAGCTTACTAATTTGACTAGACTAGCTGACCAGCAGTCTCAGAGACACCCCGGCCTCTCCATCACAGGGATGTAGGCATAGGTCCCACACTACCATTTTCCGTGTGCTCTGGGCATCTGAACTGGGGTATTTGAGCTCACATAGCAAACACCTTGTTGACCGAATCATCCACCCAGATCAAGATTCAGACTCTCAAAATAAATTTTCAGTCTCTCTGATTTCAGTTTGAAAATCATCTCATTTATATGTGAAGTTAAATCCCTTCCAACTAAGGGCAAAATTGTAATTTTACCCTGTGGCATGCAACATGTTGGTTGATCACCTTTTCACTTATCATTCCAATGAGATAAAGCTTCTCAAGCTTCCTAATGCTGTGACCTTTAATACAGTTCCTCATACTGTGGGGATCCCCACCATGAAATTATTTCATTGCTTTCAATACAGTTCCTTATATTGTGGTGACCCCCAACCATAAAAATATTTCATTGTTTTAATATAGTTCCTCATGTTGGGGTGAGCCCCAATCATAAAAATATTTCATTGCTTTAATACAGTTCCTTATGTTGTGGTGACCCCCATCTGTAAAATTATTCCATTGCTACTTCATCACTGCAATTTTGCTGCCGTTATGAGTTGCAATGTCAATATCTGATATGCAGGATATCTGCGATCCCTGGGGGAGGGGGTCTCGGCCCACAGGTTGAGGACCACTCTCCTAGATGATCTTAAAATTGTCATAGTCACTGAAGTGCATCTAACAGGAGCTGCATTTTCATCTTCTCCTATATAAAGTCCAGAGAGCTTCTGAATACCTAAAGTCTCCATCACAGCCAGTATCATCACATCTGTGGAGCAGATCATGAGGCGGAGAGGAAAGCAAACACCTGTACAGTGTACTTAACTCTATAGCAGGCACTAATCTGTATCCACAACCTCTTGAGCTCCACAACGGCCATGTAAAGTGGGCACAATTACCCTCTCTCTACAGACCAGACAGAGTCACAGAGGCAGCAAGTCATTCGCCGGGGATCACACAGCTTCCAGGTGGTGGAGCTGGGGTTTTAATGCAGGCGGCGCAGTTCCTGCAGTGTCTATGCTTATACTGCATGGAAGTGTACGGGTCTGAGCCATGCATGGGGCACTGAACTGCAATCTCCCGATTCCTGGAGACTTAAGACCAAAAAGTGATCTCTCTGTGCCGGCTGTTTTCTTTCTATCTGAATGTAATCAATTGGCTTGGAACTAAACTTCACTCTGATCTACACTGTCCACCCGGCTTATCTGCCTATTTCTCAATCATGTAAAATAATAATAATAATAAAAAGACTGAATAGAATCTTTGAGAAGACCACTGACCTAAAATATCAACTATGGAATCAGGTTCCCTGAGGTGGTATCCTGGCTCTGTCTTTGTAAGCTGAATGTGTAATTTTATTTCTTCATGAGTTGACTTCCTTGCCTACAAAATACAAGTAAAAATAACACTACTTCCAATTAATCTATGCTAAATACTTAACCCAGTGCGGGGTACATTGGCGAAGACTCAGCTGGGGTGACTTTTCAAAGCTGTCCTTTGGTTAAAAAAAAAAAAAGTACACATTTTAGAAAATGCAGATATGGATGGATACAGGATCAACATGGCTTTAAAATCTGCAGTCTCAGCCATAGCCCCGTGTAATTTAATCTGCTTCCTTTTGAAGGAACATAGGCATATCATGGAATATGTCAGGATCACCTACGGATGCCAGCTAATCTCACAAGCTAGTGGAAGCCACGCCACTAAGGGAAGGGGAGGTTTGAAGTGCTGTGACAAAATGGCTGGCTTAATTGTGTTTTTATATCACAAGCCAGATTTCAACACATAGTCACACAAGTCCATTTCGTCTGGATAGTTATGACACAATTTCATCAACTATTCAATCTGAGGCTGGGGAAACGCTCTGTGTGTCCCTCATACCTCTTTCCACTTTGCCAGTTTCCTTTCTTGAAAGCCTCAGCAAGTGGTTCTCAGCCTTCCTAATGCTGTGACCCTGTTATACAGTTCCTCATGTTGTGGTGACCCCCCCCCCCAACCATAAAATTATTTTTGTGGTTATTTCATAACTGTAATTTTGTTGCTATTACAAATTGTAATGTAAATATTTTTTTGGAGAGAGGGTTTTGCTAGAGGTGTCAAGATCCACAGGTTGAGAACCACTGCCCTAAGTGCTTACACTTCTTCGAGGCCACATTGATGTCTTGGAAAAGACTGCCTAGGGACCTAAAACAATTTATATCCCAAAATAAGAATAGTACAAGTTTTAGGAGAAGCTGGTAGGTTCAGTGCCCATTTACATGACACTGTACAGTACACGAGACACAAAGAAAATGGAATAGACAGAAATTTCTTTCCCTTTAGTTATAAAATGGACGTCACCACCGGAGAGCATGAAAAGCTCAGAGGCCCAGCAGGAGACCCAAAGAGAAGCTATTCTGGGTCACTCCCCGAGGATGCACTGAGGTGTCTATGTGGCCTGCTTGCTATGGGATGAGACAACCAATTTCTGGTACCCAAGAGGCTGACAGTGAGAGGCCCCTATACTTAATTTTGTCTGCCTCAGAGACCAGACATTCTCTGATATACCCGAGGGAAGGGGAACCTTGATGTACAAAGCAGCATCTTGGTCCAGAATTAGGGTTTTGATGAAGGGATACATGAACAGCCCCATTTGAGAGGAGGGTAGAAAAATAGATGGAGATACAAAGACCAGCCAGGCTCCGTTTTGATCCTGTAGGTATGTCTGCGCTAATTCTTCCCCCACAACATCCAGGCCTCTCTTCAGATAGAAGGGACCTGTCCCCTCATGTTCTAGGAGACTCTCATTGTGAAATGAGTCCCAGCCTCTGCTTTTCGAGATGAGGATGGCGTGTCCCCAAAGTAGCCAGCTGCCAATCACGGGCAGTTCTAAAATTAGAACCCTTGGGAGGTCAAGAGCAGTTGAAGTCTTAGAAAAACATTAAATGTCTTGATAACAACTCAACACAAATGTCTTAACCTAGCAAGAGAGGGCAGCCAGCATGATCTCCTGGAAATCATCTACAGGACAGAAAGAAGTAGCTGTCCCTCGGGTGATGGGCAGCCAAGATGACGTGCAGAGTGAGAGGTTGAGCCATCCAGTCTGGCCTTGTACTTGTTAAGATCAGTCATCTGTATAGACATAAGTTATCATTGTTTTGGCTCTGAGATGATGGGAGCGGAGGCTCTAATTTTCTTCCTCTGAGCATCTCTAGGCCAGGTACATCATGGCCTTTTTTAGTATCTTCCAAAAACGCTGCCATGTACAGCTCCAAACAAGGCAACTTCATGAATCCTCTCCCCTGGGTCCTATCTCCTCACCCAGCCTCACAA